TTTGTCCTCGTGTCACTACGCACTCCAAATCCCATTCCTGAGTCCCCGTGCTTATGTGTGATTAAACTACGGTGTAGGCAGCTCGCTGACGCCCACTGAAGCTAGACGGCAGGTTACTCATGTCCTTGCTCCAGCCGCTTGTGTGTCATCCAATCGAGTCCTCACGTGGCTCATCGGCAGATCATCGGCTCATCGGCTCCTCTTTCCATTCCTGTATTCCAGTTGAGACCTCTCTTCGCACAAGAAGAAGACAGAAATTGCCTTCAACCAGTTGCTGTACAAATAATTGCGCGAAAAAAAACACACATAAAAGCGCTCACGTCTTCCCCTGAAGACATTAGGTAAAGGAGGAAACGTGACACTAGTCTTTTGTATAAATCCCCCAAATCCACGCAGGCTTAACAAGTGGGAACATTGGATTTATAGACATGTGCAAAGCACAGCAGCCATAAGTTGGACATCAGAGGCACAGTGTCCTTGTTTTATACATCCCTTTGACTCTCATTCGTACCACTACGTCTTCTTGTCGTGTCTCCATCTCTTTTTCGAGTCTCTCCTCAGGGACACAACCAGCGCAGTGGGTAATTTGCCAGGCATTAAGTGTGGTTCTGCCAATTTATTTTCCAGAAGACTACGTGAGTCAGGCCCAAAAGCAATAAGCCGGAGCCGCCCGTAGCAACATCTGCAAAGCAAATAAGGCCTCCTTTCTGACACCACGAGCGTGCGCCAGGGACTGCTGTCGCCATGGTTCTGCCCGTTGCCTTTATTGTTGCTGGTGTCGTCATGGACGTGTGGGCTGATGTTAATGTCTTCTGCAGGTGGGACAGTTTGTGGTCAGGCAGAGTTGGGGCAAGGAGTGTGGCAACATTTCAGACGGCTACTGTTTAGGCAGAGGACCAGGAAAGACATAGTTTTATGTCATACTAAAACAAAAAAAGGGTAATGATGTTTAGTTCGCAGATTTATTTCCCTTCTTAGCTGTACTTCTTCAGATGTCCAAGTTGGTCTGATTTGCGTTCTCGTCGCTCACTTGGATCCCTGAGCTAAAACGGAAAGAGCACCAGCGAAGGGGGACTACATGTCTGCTCGGGTTCCTGGAGGAACCTCTAACTAATGTTATTCATCCAGTGAGGCAACATGGTGTCAAAGGACAAGAGTCCCTTGTAATGCTTTGATGGTGTTCTCCTTTCTGTTGGTTCAGTTTACTTTGCTTCTGTCTCGTGGAACACATCTGGGACTGAAGAGGTCCGGACTGGTCTAAATGTGTGTGTGTGTGTGTGTGTGTGTGTGTGTGTGTTGGATGAGGGGCACGTACACTGGGTGCTGGAGAGATTCATGACTGTTTTCTTTTTCGGTAGCGTGGCCCGAGCAGGTTGATGTTCTAGCCTCGCCATATGTTCCGTAGGAAATGGGCTTTATTAATACGTTGGAGAGCACGTCAGGCTCCGGTGACTTATGGGCTAAGTCAACCAACGTGAAGGTGCATTGTCAGCAACTTTTCACAAAATAAAGAATAAAAAAGCTGGAAAGAAAAACATTCTCCAGGGGCTTCTGTGGCGCGGTGGTGGGAGGGGGGTGAGGGGGTGGGGGTGACTGGTTCCAAGCGTGCCACGGTGTGGGATAGGGCCCTTTTCAGCTGAGCCTGTGCGTTCCAGGTGCTGCTTTTTAATTGCCAATTCCATGAGCAATAAAGCATTTCGCGTACTTTCGCTTGTAAAGTGCTTTCATTCCTCCTCCTTCATTCCTCTCCAAATGATGTAATTACCCCGGCGTCCCAGGCGAGAGGGCAGCAGGAGGGGGGGGAAGGGGGTCTGCTCTCTCAGCGAGAAGCCTGTGACGGATTTCCTGAAGTGTGTTTTCATTCAGGAGTCCAAACACCATAAAGTCAGTCAGTTGTTTGGGCTTCCTCTGCTCCGTGCATCTAAAACGTATGAAACAAAACACAGAAAAAATATGTCAGTTCGCAGGGGGGGGAGTTTCTTCTTGTTCCTGCACATTAATTCACGTTGATTTTATGAAGCTTTGGGAGCATATTTGGGCTTTTCTCACAGTTTTAGATCATCTTGAAAAGGCTTTCTGACTTGTTGTCCCACACATCGCTTGTTCAGTCGACACCAATCTGATACCAAACTTCACAGCTCTGCACCCATAAGAAGCGTTTCTTTTAGTCAGTCAAGGACGTAAGTTTACAATTACAAGTATGCTAACGAAGTCAGCTATCCCATACACTGATGTTATCAACTGAGTTTTTCTAGGAAGGGGCGATTTAAAAGAAAAAGCATTTTCCTGTTTAGTCGGCGTGGATTTCCCTCGGAGACACAAAGGGTCAAAAGCAAAGCCAAGTGTCTGTGGGCCGAGCGCGCAGAGACGTGTAACACTAACCTGAAGTCATTTGACTAAAACGGATCCAGTGGTCCACCAGAGGATTGTGAACCCTCGAGAACAAGTTCAGCCCGCCGGCTTGTGGCACGGAAAGCAGAACTCCCCTTGATGGACACAGATAGGTGCATTCCACTGGAGCTGCAGGACCAAATCGCTCAGCGTGGATGAAAACACACACGTAGGGGGAAGTCAAGGAAACATTCTTCTCAAACTGAGTCTACCTGGCAACGCTTTTGCATATCAGACCCCCCCCCCACCGCCTGTTAGTATTCCAGTAGTGGCAACATGGCCAAAAAACACAAAAACAAGCTGTTCGCTATCATAGCCGTTCCCATGGGAACAGGCCCGCAGAGGGTGTGCCCGCTCCAACGCTCATCTGCATGAACACTATGTAAGCCGATCCCCAGCTACGCTGCCCTAACCAGGGAGGTGGGTAGACGGAGGAGTTTCTCTTTCGCAGAGACCCGGGGGCCTCATGCAGAACCCTGCTATCAGTGTAAGCGATTAGCTGGCTCCGCTTGTGAGAAGTGCCACGAGGGGGAAAAGGATCAAGATTCCTTGAGATGTTGGGCCTGCAGTGCTCATTCACTCACTTCCTCTCCTTAATAAAGACCACACGTTGCCAGCGGCTGGAGCCGCGGCCGGCCGGCCGGCACAGAGGAGAGGGGGAGAAGCAAGAAGCAGGAAGTCGACCGGCTGGTCGATAAGCAAACAAATGTTTGGTTAGAGAGGGAGAGTCTGTTTGACAATGGCATCTTCAAAGGCAGGGCTCTGTGTTCGGCCTTTTGGCTTGATCGTCAAGGGAGCCATCGGTGGGATTAGCGTCGCTCCTCACACCTCTGCTGCACACACGCCACCATGCAACTAGTCTAGAGACCGTCGATGGTTTTGCAGTGCTTCATGGAAGACAAAGAAAATAACTAATCAGATGTGAGTGACCAGTTAAACATTTGCATAAGATACAAATAGATGTGAAACTTCGTAGCTGTACCAAAAAAAAAAAGAAATGTATGTACAGTAATTATATACGAATTATACAAAATAAATGTAATCAACATAATCATGAGCCAGAGAGTAAAATAGCCCCAAAAACCCATAAAGACAACAACCCAGTGACGACGGGTGAATGTATTGTGTGCATGTGGCGAGAGGAAATTAACACCTGTTGATGGAGCTTTTGTAGGAAAACCAATATAGAATCAGGCTCATAATATAGAAACCTCTGTATAGGATACGTTGCCTGGAGCCCGTTCCTGCATTCCCTCCCCTCTCCTGTCCGTCTGGCTTAATATTAAATGTTTCAAACGCAGAAACTGCCTGCTTAAAGTAGTTGGGATTGTTTTAAAAAGATGTGATTGTCAGTCGGGACCCAATTCCCAATGACTGGCTGCTGTAGCGTATTAACATGTCCAGTAGACTAACACCTCCAATGCAGTGCAACAAAACAACACAAAAGCTCCAATAGCGAAATAAAGGGGCCACTTCAACGGGACAAATGTCAGTGAGTGTCCACGTCGCACACCTCTTCCTGGGCCCGAGTACCATTTAGATTGTGTTTATTGCGCTCAAAGCTTTGAAACATTGAATTATAAAAGGAAACAGGAACGCCTCTATCCATTAGCACCAGTGTCCCTAAGAAGAGTTTTCACGGTGTGTTTAACTGTCACTGCGCTCACGGTCCTTTCCGTGTAGCGGGTCCACGTAGCTCTCAGAGTATTAGCGCCTGACTGACTTTATAAACAACCCAGAAATTATTTCTGCCTTAATGCTCCACTGGGGAAAAAGAGAAGCGTTCCCCCTCCCGCCGTGCAACGCTGTATCCAGCTCTCTTTATGAATAAATGGTTTAGAAGCACCTCTGTCTTCCTTCAAGGCACTTTTAGTGTCCTTGGCAAATTCTTGCTTTTACTCAGAACCTATTAGTCTCTTTTTACAATTGCATTTAATCTAATTATCCATTTCCCTGCAGTTGTATCATCAAGGCAAAGCCGCTACTACCTCTGTGCTAAATGGGCTCCATGCAAATACAGTATTAGTATGCCTGTGATTGTGTTCACCCTGTGCAGCCATGAACCCTCTGACTGCTAAAATGTGAAAAAGCTTTTCTCCCAGAGGAAAACACACTGCTCTCTAAGTGAGCAATAAATCTGGCACTTAGGAGAGGTTGTGTGTGTGTGTGTGTGTGTGTGTGTCCTCAAACCCATCGCCTCCAGAGCTGTCAAATGTGTCCCGGCCCTGAGACATCCGTGACCCATGACCCCTGTGACTCCTGTTTTGTTCTCGGCACTCCAGGCCCCTCAGATATCCCTCCACTGGAACTCCCCTAGATGACAGACACTCCTCTCCTCTCTGTTCCACCACACCACCCCGCTGGCCTTTGACCTTCCCGGCACCTCTGCATCTCCGCGTGGCCGCCCCCGCATTCCCGCGGAGGGGCTGAAACCCGAGCCCCCTCCGTGAGCTCATCCCCCCCGGCCCGCCGAATCCAGAGTTAAATGATACCGAAAAGGGAGGGAAGGTGGGGGAGACGGGTCTGGAACTGGTTCTGTGTGTCTGCGTGCCGACTCTCCTCGGGGGGGTTAAGTTACGCCAGAGAGCGCGAGGAGGAAGAGGAAGAAGAAACTGCTGGCGTCTTGGACTCGGCTCTGCTTTTGTCTGTCTCGTTTTCCTCTCGGGTCGGCCTGATTGTTTGCTGCCAGCAGTTTCCTCTCGACACGCTCCGCCGCCCTCGCCGCCCTCCGCCGGCGCTTTCGAGTTAACGAGCCCCGTTGATGTCGTCTTTGTGTGCGGGAGCCGGGCCGGGATGGGAGTGTAATGCTGAGAGGTCGCGCTCTCTGTCTCCGCTCTGCTCCGACCCCGCCATGACCACCGGGCGCCCAAAGACGGTCAGTGTCCCTTCTTTTTTTAAATCGTCTGCCAGTGTGTGTGTGTGTGTGTGTGTGTGTGTACATTGTTTGTGTGTTAAAATGTGTCGGTAAAAAAAAGAAGAACTGCAGTAGAAAAATAAAATGATACTGTTTTTTTTTCAATGCTGTAGATCAAATTTCATCACAAAATCATTCTAATTCACATCTCGTATTGTGATGAGTACCATTAAGACGCATAATCACCGCAAACATAATTAAACCAATCAGTGTCTCTCTCAAGCTGAGTTTGGAGGACGACTGCAGTCAGTTGGGAAAAAAGGGAACTTTCAAACCAATAGCATCTCCAGCTGGAAGTGAAGATCAACTTGTAAAAGTTTAAAGAGCGCCATTAGATAAACCTTTTAGCGATGCATTATTCATGGGCGCCGTGTTTCTTTCTAGTTTACTGCCTGTTGTTCGCTGTGTCTCTCTCTGACCTTGTGCACTTGTCTTGTCAACCCTTGGGTTGACAAATCCCTCTGAGGCAGAGCTCTAAACAGCGTGAGGATTTTAATGGGTGGCCTACAGGAGGCACGAAACGAAAGGTTGAGTACACTTTATCATTTAAAAATGAATAATATAATAGTGCACTGTTTTAAAAACTTCAGAATGGTGAAAAGTCCAGATCAAATTCTCAAGTATCTTTTACAGCAGAAATAATATGTAGAATAACTGAGTGTTTCCAGCATTGACTTTGAGAATTTTGGAGGTTAAACCAAAACCAATATCTCTAACACCCTTTGCTGCAGTCTCATTATTTGAATGGCTGTGAAGGATCTCTATGATCAGGAGCTTTAAATTGACACGTTTGGTTTTTTGACACATATTACTCACCACACCACACCAGCACCCCAGATCCCACACTAGGACTGATTAATGAGTACACATCACTACCTAACAAGAACAGATGATCACAAATACTCTGTATTTTCTGGGGGTTTTAGCTGATCTTTTTTTCCAACAGCTTCTTGCGAAGAACATGGTTGCAGATTTGATTCCATTCCCAAATGTGCAAAGTGACTCATCAAGCTTCTACAGTTCAATGAAGGTTTACGCCGACGCAGCATTCTCTATGGCAAAGTATTACTTTAACAACTAATGGTGCGGCAACAGCAAACGTGAATGTTTTGCGTCGCCTCAAACGTCCCAACGCACCGCATACTCTTGGCGGACCATTTCTGGCCGATTCTCGTGAATCGCGTCATTAGCGACTTGGCGGAGAGGGGGCTACTCACATGAGAAACACCAAACACCACCGTCGCGTTTTGGTACAAAATAGCATCTGTAGCCAAAGACGTCTCCGTACATTTCACCAACTTCTGCAGGATCTGGGTTTGCATGACTTTGCCATGACTTCACCGCCTTCACATCGTACTTCCCTGCCGAGGGAACCGTCCCATAGCAAGACACCGTGTGCTCAAGCACATCCAAACGGCCCTTTTAAGAGACACCCACACAATATGATTGAGCAAACATCCTGCATATTTACTTAATGACGAGTAGCCGTGTATTGTTAAACCAGACGATCACGCTACACTGTATTGTGCTGTATCCAGTGCAGCGATGGGATGTTGTTGGAGGCTGTATCCTGTCTCTCCTGGACCGGTCGCTACATAACGTTAGGTACGCGGATGTATTGGACAGCTCGGGTTACACACACACGCAGCGAACGTAACTGTTCATTTACTATTCATTTTTTCTGAATTGGCAACTTTCTGCAGGACGTCAGCATCTCAATGCTGATAGGCTATCTCACCGCAGCGTCACGCCAGTTTGTTGGCAAAGTTGAATAATGTCAACTTTTGTATTTGTTGCATTCGGCTGTTTGATGCAAATTTTCGCGACTTGTGCAGTTGGAAATTTGCGTCGCTCCAGTCTCAGCGCGTCTTTGCATAGACGTTGTATTGTATAAAATTGTGTGAGCACACCATAACTGGTTGGTGTGGGATGATCCGCAGTCCGCTTATTAATGACGGTAACCTGCTGGTTAATGTGACAGTAACTTTACTGAAGCTTCACATCGGTCCAGATTGGATCAGATCGTTAAAAGTATCAAATGTTACTTAAGAGAAAGCGTTATTTATGAAGGCAAATCAATTTGAAATTCAAGAGCTAAAATGAGGTCCATGCTTGCGCAAATCACAACAGTGGCAAGCAAAGGTCCCTCTCGTGTGAGCAGAAGTCGCTCAGGATTTTTTTTATGTACTCGCTCGCGGGTAGTTTTTCTTTTTTACTTTCCTATAGTCCTACTATAGTAGAAGGACTGTATGACTATTTAGTCCTGCAGGCCTAAAGTCCTATAGACCTACTGCAGTACTTTAGTCCTGCAGGCCTATGGGGTCAGCTGACTGCAGCAGACGTCATGAATGGGACGTTGTCTGATACTGGACATCAGGGCATGGCTCAGATATGCTGCAAAGGAGCGAGAGAGAGGCCTAAAAAAGAAAGTACGACGAAGGCATTGAGAAAGATCCGAGGTGGGGGGGGATTCAGGGAAAGTGCAGCATAGACTGGGAGAACCAGCACAAGTAGAAGCTTGTTCTTGCACTGCCTTGCCGTTCTCTGCCCATAGCAGGAGGACGCGGCCTCTCTTGGACGAAAGAAAAATAGACAGAAAATGCCAGAGGATAATGTGATTACAGGCGCATAGGAGAATGAAGGTTAATTGGAGTTAAGTGTCTATAAAGAAAGGACCCTATATTTATATATACATCTGCACGTCAACCTACGTTCTGCCAATAGTGCTTAGATCCCTCCAAAATAAACACAGTCAATAGTTCAGAAGGAGTGCTGCCAGTGTATATGTTCTAAGGATAATACCGGGACATTTGGAGTCCAGTCATTATCAGATTATATTCACCGGTTCAGACACGTGAGTAGGAAAACGTGGAGCTGCTGAGCGACCTCGCTTCAGGTCGCTTATGTCTGGAGGTGGAATGAAGCCATTCAGCGCCACCCACGGTAACCACTCTTGTGCCGGCTTGACTACTGCGAGTATAAACTAAGCATTAGCTGTGAACAGAAACCTCACCTCTTACCAGGCATCATGCAAATCCCAAAAATCATAATTTTATGAGAGAGAAAAATCAAACTTTTTACAAAAATTAACTTTGAGAAACAATGAAACATGACTGTTTTTCACATTAGTTATAAAAACATCTACCAAATAGTTTAAAATATCCATCATAATTGTGCAGTTACTCAGTTAACAGCGTGTAAAGCAGCTACTGTGAGCTGGTCTCATTTGCATGTCTTGCTTGATTAATTGTACCATTTACAGCGTTGCTTATTGGCGAAAAACAACTTTCTGGAAGTGTCTGGTGTTTGGCACAGCCAACACAATTAGGTCTGGGGTTGTGTGTGTGTGTGTTTGTAAATCCCTACATTTGATGGATGCATTTCAGATTTGTAACAGCCCTTTAAGCCTCGAGCTTGTAACTGTTTGGGGTCTTCTGGCACGGCTGTAGAGGTGGAGAGACATGCGTTTGTAAAATACTCTTGCTGGTGATTGTTTTTCTTTTCATAGTAATTTGCTCAGTAAATGTTGTCTTCTTCGAAAACACATTCACATTCAGAACCTGTATAAATATAATACCATATATTATTTAAATCAACCTAAAAGATTTGGTAATTTAGGGCCAAACATAGATAGACAAAAATTTACTGTTTTCTAGAAAAAAAATGCAGAACATTTCTAAAATGTAGTAAAAATGTCATTCCACAATTTGTTACACTAATACAGCCTTATAAATATTTACCTTTTTTTCACATTTTGTATTTCAGCATCATAGGTGTTAATTCATTTTTTTATTTTTTTTAACTGTGCAATTGAGTCCTCTGAGAAAGCCCCAAATCACTGTTTCCACTTCCTCTCTGGATTTGTCATTTTTTAAGACCCCTTCACCCTGAGCGGCAATGCTCTCCTTTAAAGCCCCTTCGCTCCTCTCACTTGAAACGAGTGCAGAGTCTGCAGTCTCAGGGACTCTTCTCCATGCAGCTGTGAGTCTGGACCGACTGGGTTCAGTGAGCCGGGAAGAGCAGCAGCCACATTCCAGCAGCAATCAGCAGCCACACAGAAACACAGCAACCTTTCCCTGATCTCCCCTGAACCCGTTTTATTCTAAATGATTTACCAGTACACACTGCTGCAATCCACATAGAGGGACTTTTTCATTGGATTATTGCAGCAAATACTTGTTTTGTTCAGTAAGATCATCTTCACTGATAAACACCACTTTTAAGGTTATTGAAATTTGAACTTGCAGAAGTAAGAAGACAATGTTAGGCTATAAACAAATTACAGAAGATGATAAGATGGAAGTCGGCGTGGTGATGTTCTACTCACATGGAGCCGTTTGTAACCTTAAGTTATCATCATTTTGCAAAGCCAGTCAGCTTTCCTTACTTCTACTTTGCAAATGACTAAATGGAATAAAGTGTCCTTTCACAACTACTAATAAAAGAGAATTCTCAACGTAATTGAAAATCACTTTGAAATTTTGCATCAGCGTGATATTTTATTTCAAAACCGCCCTCCCAGTTAGTGGAGCAGAGCGCTGCGGCGGCTGGCGGGGGCCAACACACACGTTTTACGGCCTGTAAGGGGGACCCTTCTTGTTTGCTTTGGAGCCCTGTGAAAGCGGCCAGAGACGCGGTGGCGAATGAAAGGCCGAGCAGCTGGCAGCAGGCGTACAGCGTCCAGCCAGGTTCGCCTCCAACCACACTCGACTTTAAGGAGGCATTCCGGGCCCAAACCAGCCCCCTCCCCCACCCTTCACTCCCCCCCCCCCGTTATCTTACATCTCATGTTCTCACCTCATTAAAACTCAATTTGTCTCTTAAATCTAATCCCTGTTGCGCAACTCCTTTTTTGTCATTTACATGCGATGTTGCAGATTGCGTTCAGGCATCGACATTCAGTTTCTGTGGCAACGACGATGCTTCACTCAGTGTGACTCGTGGAGCATTTTCAGGAACAA